GACCTTGGTCTTCCACTGTATCAAAGAATTGTCAACAAGAATTATTAATGAATTATATGCTGCATAACACTAGCTATCATGACTTGGACCTGAGATTACCCTATTGGTAACCTTTTCCCAACCTTATAATTTTTCTTAGCATACCTTTTGTCATCTTCCTTGTAGGCATTTTCCTCACAATGTTACAAGTGACTTGGAAAATAAAGTATACGTATGAGGTGCTTTTTGGTGTTATTGTATGAGAAGTATTTGACAGAGAGAGAGCCTTTAATGACCCTTAGCAATCTCTACTTTGCACTTAAAAGATAACTCCCTATTATTATTATTTTACTTTCATGTGAAACTTTAACCCAATTGATTATTTTTTTTTTAGTAATTTTTTTTTTTTTTTTTTTTTAATGTTGCCAGACTTTTCCCTTTGAAATTGTAGCTTGTTTGAGGGGAAAAACTGATATCTGTAGAAAAAGTAGAGCTTTTCCTTTCACATAGCTTGACAATGTGCAAGTATGCAAAATGAACAGAGGTGTTTCCTTCCCCCCTCCCCCCCCCCCCCCCTTCTCCCCTGCCTCACCTTAGTGATCCACTGTTGAACCTCTTTCTCCTTGAGAAAAAAATCTTGTGCATTTCAGGTGGATAAATCTCCTGACTAGGAAGTATAACAGCTCTAAAACCTTTAACATTTGGTCTGTGATTTTATTTAAGAAGATCTTGATGTTAATGACAACTATACTGTTATGAACACAGTATCACTTAATCTTCAGTCATTTCTAGTCCTCTGCAGGCTTGATAATTTAGAAATTGCTGCCATAAAGTGAAAGCTCATTCCTATCCTCTGGAACTGGTATCTGTGAGGGTAAAATAAGTAACATGCCTATCACAGTTGTAGGGCTAACTTTGTGCTTCTTGTACTAAGAGGCATGTCTCTTTCAGTGCTTTTATGTCACTTCCACTGCTTGTTTTGCTTGTATCTGTAAAAGCCAAACTTGCGCTGCAAAAGTACTTAAGATGTGCCTTTGAAAGGATTTCAGTTTACATACTGAGCTTGGTTTTGGGGGATTTCTTGATCTGTTTTTAAAAAATCAAACCTTGGATCTTTTAAAAATCAAACTTTGGATCATTTAAAAACAGAACAAAAGCCCAAATATTGAGCTAGTCAGAAACAGTAGTTGCCCCTCTGATTTGAATTCTTTGCTTTCCTTCCCTTGAAACCAGCTAGCAGCGAAATGAATTGTGTGTATTTAAAAGAAGAAAGTAGATTAAATATGCTGTATGGAGCATATTCTGAGGGAGTAGCTACTGACATTGGATGGTACTTTAACCAAAAAGACCTCAAAACTAGTGTGATCGTGACTAGGAACTATCTTGGACTGAACAAATAGTAAATAACAATTGTGTGACTCTAGGTTTAATTGCATTAGATAAAAAAAAAAAATCTGATGAATCTTTTGATTGTATCTGATTGTCACCTCATTAAAAAAACTGTTCTTACAAAAATTAAAACTTAATTACTTCAAGTATTCATAGCTTCCCTAATACTGTTTAACTTTTCAAATTAATTCCAGGTAGATATCTAGAACTTTTAAGACTGTCTTTAATGAAATTGTTCTGTCCTACCTAAGTTTTACTGGCTGTGACTTTTGGAAATGTTGACTTTTGTGCTAAATAGAAGTGTTTGCAAACACTTAGTGATCTTCAGCTACCAAAGAGCTTCCTCAAATCTTTCTAAAACAATTAATTCTGTAGATTCATGCTTAAAACTATTTTTTTTGAGTAGTCCATTCAGAATTTGCAAGTTACAAGTGTACAACAGTAGTTGATGCTATGTTTTTTATCTCAGTAATAGTGCTTAGAATCCAGAAAGATTGGTGGAATTTTTTGGTCTAGAAAGAAGTTTGAGTGCTAGAGTGAAGTTCTATAACCATGCTTTTTATTTTGCTAGATCAAGAGTCTGGTAAACTCAAGCAGTGGAACATTAAACTGAATGATGTACCAAACTGATGAAAATGTGTCTCACTCAAGTGAGGGAAATGAAATTATGAAAGAGAAGACATTTTAACTTAATTTAGATGGTTCCTATTTGCTTAAAAAGCAAAACAACCACAAACTTTAACTTGTTCACTTAAACTTAACTATTCTGTTTACATTGACTTGATATAGGATAATGCTGCAAGGAATTGCAGACTAATTACTGCATAAACTCAGTATTGCTGAAGAGTGGGCACACATTTCAGACACCTTTTCTTTGCAAAAAAGAATGCAGTTTCAAAACATAACAAAATAAATATAACCCAAGCTCTCTGGAAGCTTGCTGTCTTTGTGCTGATGAAAAACTGTAACAGTGAGGTTGGGGTAGCAGGAAATGAGGAGTAAGTCGCCTTGATGCTATTTTTCATAAAGCATACTTTTAAGAAGAGTAATACATAGCTGGTGACCTGGTGCCAGTGACAGCACCTGACTAGGAGAGCAGAGACTTTAGGTTTTGATAACCATCCAGACATGGTCCTGGGCGCCCTGGTCTGGGTGTCCTTCCTGGGTAGGAGTTGGACCACATGGACCCAGAAGTCCCTCAGCCATTCTGTGGCTTGTGTTCTTAGGCTGAACTCAATTTTGTGAGCAACAGCTTTCCTGCGATTGAATCTAACCTAAAAGAGTAAACCTGTAAAAATCACCAGTATGAAAATAAGCCTTTTTCTTTATATCTTTACATCTTTTGGTTTTTTTAGATCTAAAGAAGTATCAAATCTTCATATGTGCAGAGCAAAAACAGAATTTTAATTCCGTCACTCTTTGTCATGTTAACAATCAGCAGGTTCACTCATGTCACACAATGTAGCTAATTACCAAACAGCTGATGATGTACAGGTATGCTGTCATAACACCAGCACAGGGGGAGGGCAGAAATGAGGGCTGTGGTGTCTTCCAAATCCGTTTTGTTCTTATTAGGATGAATGGACAGCTTTTTTTTTTTTTTTTTTTTTTTTCTCCCCACTGGTAGAAAGGCTGTGTTTGCACAGCACAGCTGAGCTCTCAGGGTTCTCTGCTGGCGGGTATCTGAATGGTTCAGTGTTTTGGATAGGCTTTGGCTTGGCTCAGCTCTTAACCTGTGCTTCTGTCTTTTTTCTGTTCCACTGGTGTGCCTGGATGGCTTCCAGCCATCTAGGTCAATCATAGTCTCTCTGGTGTGGAACTGGTAATAGCTCCTTTTCACAGTGGCAGGTTTTTTCTTCCCTGGAAGTAACAGGAAGCTCTGCATGCTATTAAATTTTATAATTGTAGCAATAAAGACTACACCTGATTGTGATGTGCCCAAGTATCCCAGCTGGGTGCTACCAGGAGCTCTAAACTACTGCGCTATGGCTGTGCTGTATCACACTCGTTAGGGATCACTTTATGGAAGTTCTCATCTTGTGAGTCATTAGCTTGTTGTTTGTTCTTCTGGTTTTAAAGTGGAGCATTTATTTAAAACAGTTACTTCAACATAATGTGAAGAGCAAGATCTGAAGCAAATCACTGGTGTAACTGAAGTACTCCTCATCTGTGCCTGGTGCAAGAGGCAGGCTTAGTTTGGAGGACTTTGGTGGAGATTAAAAAGGGAGAAAGGATCCTTTTCAAAATCCTAAATCTTTTTTTTTTTTTTTTTTTTTTTTTTTTAACCTGAGCATTAACTTGGTGTGCCCCTGCTCTTCCTACCACTCAATTCTTTTACTACTTGATCACTATGTTTTTCTTTTTTAATCCATCCTTTTTTTTTTCCCCTGCATTTTTTTTTCTTTTTTTAATTCTTTCTATATTTACTTTAGTTTGTAGACACTTGAGTGTGGTTGATGTGTGTATATGGAAAGGAAGAGCTGGACTGTGTCTCCTCAGAACCTCTGTCAGGGGAAATGTGACTTCAACAGCATCCTTCTGGCAGGCAGCAAAGAGGCTGGTTTTTATCCTTGTGATAAGGATGGTAGATTGGTAGATAACGAACACTTTCTCCCTGCAAATGTTCTTTAACTCTAAGCTGGTATGCATTTTGTATGTGATATTAATGAATTTTGAGCAAGTGCTCTTAAACACTTAATGTCACTAAATCAAAAAAAGACAGTTTTGTTCAGTGTTCCTGGTAGCCTCCCACTTCTTTTTTATTATACAGTCACTTCTTTCTGAGGTAGTTCATCCCAATACAGGCAGTGCCTGCGGAGTCTGTGTGTGTAATGTCTGAAGGATCAGGCTTAGAAAATGTGACTCTACTTGTTTGTGGGAATTTTTGCTCTATTTTGAGCTTCTTGTGAACTTTGCTTTCAAATGACCAGTTTTAGTTAGTGTTGCAGGTCTCCTGAGCTACGAACAATTTCATCTTCATCTTGTGCTTAGGGTGAGTCAGAAACTTCTTTTGTGGAAGATAGGAATAATATCTCCAAGCCTGAGCCTGTTGGGCATGTGCAGTGACCACATTGTTCCTTGGACCTGTCCAGTGAGTGTGTGAAGTGAGGAGGCTTCTTGTATGCACACGTAGTCAACCCTTCCCCCCTTCCTGAAAACTCCCTCTGCTTTTGCACTCCCTGAGGAGCACGCATTTTCTGCTTTTATGAAATGAGAGTTTCTGCTCTCCTAATTTCTCAACCTGGCCAGAAAAGAGGTAAAAGGACAATTGTTGCTCACTGCAATGTAAGTGCATATTGAATAACTGTGGCAGTAGCAGCAAATTGAATAACTCAGTGGCTGTCACTGAACTGTTTACTCATTCGTGGTTTCAGACTGCTTTCGTGCTTGATGTGCTACAAATATCAAGGTGAAAGAAATCCCATCTTCCTTCCTTATGCTTGTATGTATGATTCAGCAGCCTTTCCAGGGAGCTGCAAAAACAAATAGGCAGTCATTGGGCAAAGTGCATAACTTTCTGACTTGCTGCATGCCTCTTCCTCTTTATGCACTTCTCTTTGCATATTTGGGGGTGTAATAATCACTATAGATTTAATGTTGCTTTTGTAATGTATTTTTTTCCTTTTTGCTAGCTGGCTTGCCTTTTGCAATTCTCAGTTCAAGACGTATCCCCTTCCAGAGAGGAGTTTTCTGTAGTGATGAATCCATCCGCTATCCATACAAAGAGGACACCATTTCTTATAAGTTGTTAGCAGGAATAATTGTTCCTTTCAGTATAATTGTTGTAAGTTAAACTTTTTTTCATTGCATTTGGTTTCAGAGGGGGTGGGAAGGAGGGGGAATCTGTTAATACAGATCTCTAAAACTGTGTTCTGTAGGATTTCCCAGCTTCAAAATAATGCCCTTCAACTAGGTATTAAAGCAGTAGTAATGGTGTTCTAAAAAAGTTAACTTGATAAATTTCTGCTTTTTGAAGCCAAACAAATAGAGTTGGAGAACAGAAAAAGAACATGGTAGAATTATGACAGTAGTTGTCTTTTTTTTTTTTTTAAGTTACTTAATTCTGTGGCTTGAGATACGGAAAATTAGTTCCTTATTGATTGAAAATAACACAGATGTGCACCAAATGACTGTCTTGAACATTCCTGTTCTGGGAGCTGCTCTTTTCAGAAGACAATTTAGTATAACATATTAGTCAGCTTTCCTACCTGCTGCACAATCATTGGAAGTTCTTCTATGTGTGGAAGTATAACTAAGTACAAACTTCTTGAATAAACTAATAATAGAAACCCTCAAAATTCTGACTTCAATCAGAACTAACCACAAACATAACCCTAGAAAAAAAGAATGAGTAGCCAGGGAATTTTTTTCCAGAAGTTGCACCTTCACACAGAATCCATTTATGTTTGAGTTAATGCCAGGGTTTACTTTTATTCTGCACCTCATTTGAATCAACTGAGTTCCTAAGGTTGTCTTCCTTTCACATTGAATCAGCAAACTGGTAATATTCCCTGTGCAACTGCTAAGTATCCATTGAAGGGGATGAGGCAGTTTAGGATCTCCCTCTTTGACTGCAACTCCTAGCTTAAATGAACTGATTCGAGCATATTTTAACTCTGCCCCTTGAGATTTAGTTGTACTCTGCCAGGTGAGCCAACGTAATAGCTTCTTATTGAGGAAAAAGTCAGGTTCCACTTACAGCACTGTCTTTTGCCACCTACAGTGTCACGTCTGAATTGTGCAAGCTACTGGAAATCCTTAATCTGGTTGAAAATAGCTTTTAGCTTTCTGCTGGGTTGAGTGAAAGGGCTCCTGGAAGTGTAAGCAAGAAGTATCAGTGCTAATGCCTGAAGTGGCATGAACATGTCATCAATTGAGAGTAAGTCTGGAGCTCACCAGTTAATCGTTTCATGCCTTATGTCTTGTGTGACTGCCCTCCAGGTGAGGTTTCAGCATCACGGTTCAGATATGTCAGAAAGCTTATTTACTCAGCTCATTGTATCTATGTGCTGATTGTCATCAGAGTTGATCACGTTACAATTTGAGCAGAACTGAAACTTTCATGCCAGATAAGGTCTTTAGGTGTTTAACAATTTATCCAAGTATATTCTTGAAATTAAAACAGGAAAAGAAGCAGAATATTGGCTAACTGCTTCTCTGGGTTACAAATCAGAGAATACTATGGCAGTCTGACTCTTGTACAAATACTCAAGACAGGGATTTTTTTCTAGGTTCAAACATGTCAACATGTAGGTTGTGTGCTCCTGGATGGGATCTTTTTTCCGTATCTGTAGAAATGTGAGGACTGGGAAACAGAACTGGCTTGCTGTGGGTTTTTTTTTTTTTTTTTTTTTTTGTGTGTGTGTGAGTAGGAGGAAAGCCTATGGTTCAAGAACTTAAAAGAAATACAGCAGAAACTTTTTTTTACTGTTTGTTCAGTTAACTGGCAAGAGATCTGTGCTGGAAGATCTTGCCTTTTATGGTAGGACCACTTCTTTCACTCTGCTCATGCTGGTAGTCAGTACTCCATAAGAGCAGCCGTACTTGGTCACAGCTGAGGTCCATCTAGTTTATTTCATTTCAGCAGTGGTTAAAACAGAAGTAAGAAAGAAGAACAGAAAAATACTTTCCTATTGGCCACTTTTAGATGAGATCCTGTCTGAGTCAGAAAAGGCTTCAATGAACTTAGTAATTTTTAATGAATGTATTTCCTTTGATTTTTATCCAGTCTCCATGTGAGTCTGTATACATGCTTGTCTAATGAAGCCACCTTCAGAACATTTAGAGATCTTTTAGTGGTGAAATGAAAACAGTCTTGGCAGAAAATCATCAAGTCAGACACTTAAAAGCAAGTATTAGTGTCTTATCCTCAGTGCTTTTACGTAGACCACTGCAGATGAATGCTGTGAGTCCAGTGATGTAGCTGTAGTGATATCATTTTTTGTCATCTCAACTGAGCCTTTCTTTAAGCTTTTCAGCCTTGTTCTTTTAATAGGATTAATTGTGGCTGTAATACTTTGTTTCAGTTTACTTCATTAAGAGGTATTCTCTAGGATTTGTTTTAAGAACATACTGACTTCTGTGCTTGAAATGTAGATTTTTTTTCAGCTTTTTGTCCTTGTTTTGGTGTTTCTCTGCTTCAGTTAATGTTCCAGCAGGGTGCAGAATGCAAAAAAATTGTTAGTGTACCCTTATTAACATGTCTGCCTGCTTTACACGTGCCGAGCTACTGACGGCCACTTTCCTCAGGTGTCAGTGCCTTTTTGTACAGCTTAATTCACACAGTCTCTGCCTTTCTGATATCATGGATGTGTCACTCTTGTAAGTGATAGATGGAGCTATCACTGAATCCTTAGGATTTTTGAAAGTGACTTTATTCACATATATCTAATCTATTCCTGTAGAAGAGCCTTTCTATATAAAATGGGGCTGGCTGACTCATATCCAGCCACTCTAGATGAAATAGTAATATAAGCAGTGGGACTGAAAATTTATATACCTGTTCTAAGAAAAACATGCTTTCTGCCAAAGGCAGATGTTGGAGGAAGAAATCTCCTTTCCTATCAATACTTAATAAGTTCATGATGCATATACTTTGAACACACAATATGAGAAATCCTTTGAGCTTTTTCTCCCCTAAAGATAAACTTTTCTTAAGGATTAGGAGGTTACTTTGTTTAAATAACTGGCCTTTCACATGTGAAAATCAAATTTAGATGCTTCAGAATGGTTTCTGGCTTCACAAAAAAGAAACAAAACAAAACCAAAACAAAACAAAAAAAACATGAAAAACCTGATAAGACGGAAGAATTCTGTTTAGCAGATACTAAAGTAGTGAAAAGTCAGTGTAGGATGGAATATAAAATTGAAGAGAATACTTTTCATCAGCTTTTGTCAAACAGTATAAATGAATTTTACCCAGTGGAAGCTTTGTTGTAATAAATAGTCTGAGAATCAGCTTACCTGTACAACTTGCTTTTATAAAGTGCAACGTGATGCACAGTAGGGCAAAAATGATTTATTTTAAATAATAATGTGTTTTAAAGTTTTAGAAATGATTACTATCAACTTCTAGGGAGCTTAAATTCTGCAACCCAGTTTTCTTTAATCTGAAATATATCAGCTTGATTATTAACAATAGTGTTTTTTAAGTGATTAACTGCTGTCCTTCTTTCTCTTTCAGATAATCTTAGGAGAGACTCTCTCTGTCTTTTATAACCATTTGCACTCAAACTCATTTGTCAGAAATAACTACGTAGCCACTATTTACAAAGCCATTGGAACCTTCATTTTTGGAGCAGCTGCTAGCCAGTCATTGACGGACATTGCCAAGTACTCCATAGGCAGACTGCGTCCTCACTTCCTTGCGGTGTGCCAGCCTGACTGGACACAGATCAACTGCAGTCTGGGTTACATTGAGAACTTCCCGTGCCAAGGAGACAAAGCAAAGATCAATGAAGGAAGGTGAGTCTAAGTGATCTTGCAGGCTCGGTTTTGAGACCTCTTTCATGGCTTGGTAATGTCTTGGGTATGATGAGTTCATAGTGTATGAAATCACAGGTTCTGAACTGGACATGCTGACTGAGTAGTAATATAACTTGGGAGACTGAACACAGAAAAAATCTAAACTTTATTTACTTTTTTTTTTTTTTTAATTGATAGTGAGAAAACCACTTCCAGAGTAAAAATTTATAGTGTATTTAAACTATGCTTGCTGTACTGTTCTGATCTCTCTTTTCATCTCCCAAGCTGGGTAGAAGCTTAGTGATTTGGATAAGCATCACTGCATGTTTTGTTGCAAACATCAAATGAATACTACCATTTCAAGTACAACTGGGAGCCTGCTGAATTGCAGGAGGTCTTGAGTAAAGATACACTTGAATTATATTTGTGCACATATTTATGTTATAACATGAAGATATTGCAGTGGAGTTCTGCTTGGTTGTCTACACTGATTAAGGTAGCACTGGATTTTAGTTAGTTCAAGTGAAGTTTTTACACTAGCCTGAACTTCATTATGCTAATTCTTGAATTCTGTATCTTCTTTTACTCTGAAAACGGTTGTCTTCAGCGTTTGGTAGCTTTAGCTTTTGCCCCTTGACAACTTCTGTGGTATACTTGCACTTCCATTAATACTGTTGGTTAAACTAAGCTGAGGATAACAATAAGTACACAAGTGTAAATATCATTCATATCTTGTTGAAAGCTGCATATGGAAGTTGATGTATATTACATTAAAATGTAATTTTTATTTAAATTAGAAATTCTTAAGTTGATGAGTATGGGTATTAGTAAGTAGTGTTTTCCTACCTGCTGGTAGGAGAACCCTTTCTTCAGGCATTCTCTGGCATTTAAGTTAGTTTTGATACAGAAGCTGGTGTACAGAACTTCAAATAATTTTAGGCTGAGTGATTTATGTAAAAATATGCTCTGAAACTTTTATGAAAGTATTGTTGTGTTCAATTCCAGCTAGTCATGTGCAGAGTTTCTAATACTTATTCAGATGGGAGATTACAAAGAGATTACAAAGATGTGGATATATTTTTAAATGTAGTTGTACTGTGGAAAAGAATACCATACTGTATAAGTTCATTATTGGATATACTGCTTGTTTTTAGTGTTTTAGAAAAGTAGTCTATACAAGGATGAGTGTTCATGTCTCTGAATTAAGGGGTGGAGGGAAAAACAAGTTGATCTCCTGTTAGTGGTGTGAGTAATTAACATGTCAGTTCTCATAAACAGCACAAATGCATGTCTTGATATGATTGCCTTACAGATACTTTCCTTAGTATTATTAAAGATAGTAACTTGCCAAATGGCTGTTTTATCTCTCACTTGAACAAAGCAGGGCCTGGTAGAACAGGGGTAGGTGTGCTGGGTTATTAAAATGATCGGCAATTTACCCGAATTCCTGAAAGAGGAGTAGGCAGAGAGGATTCAGGAAGGACACATGACTTCTCCATTCTTTGTTAGTCGTAAGGCATACTTCCCTAACTAGTCTGTGGCAGATTGTTCATGAATCTTGTTAGTGTTCATGCACTGGAAGGAGTTAATAGAAACCATAGATATTTCCCAGCAGGAGCTGTAAATAAATATTCTGCTGTTTCTCTCTTAAGTGTACTTTACTATATTTGCTGGTTTCACTTGTCCAAAATGAGCTTGTAAGCTTGAATATCTAGTGTAGTTTTGTAGGTCACAGAATCGTAGGGGGTTGGAAGGGACCTTCAGACATCGAGTCCAACCCCCCTGCCAAAGCAGGTTCCCTACAGCAGGTCGCACAGGTCGGCATCCAGGCAGGTCTTGAACATCTCCAGAGAAGGAGACTCCACCACCTCCCTGGGCAGCCTGTTCCAGTGCTCCGTCACCTCACTGTAAAGAAGTTCTTGCGCACATTTGTGCAGAACTTCCTATGCTGCAGTTTCCGGCCGTTTCCCCTTGTCCTGTCTCCACTCACCACTGAAAAGAGTCCGGCCTCGCCATTCTGCCCCCCCACACCTTAGATATTTATAGACCTGGATCAGGTCCCCTCTCAGTCTTCTTTTCTCAAGGCTGAACAGACCCAGTTCACTCAGCCTTTCTTCATAGGAGAGATGCTCCAGGCCCCTCACCATCTTTGTGGCCCTCTGCTGGACTCTTTCCAAGAGATCCCTGTCTTTTTTGTACTGGGGAGCCCAGAACTGGACGCAGTACTCCAGATGAGGCCTTACCAGGGCAGAGTAGAGGGGGAGTATGTTGAACACTGGGGAAAAACTCACAATAAACTCGTAATCAAGGTGCACAAACACGTGAGCAAAGGAGACAGAACAATCTTAAGGTACTGAAGAGTTGTGAATAATTTTTAGTTCTTAAACAGTGTATTAGCTGCTATGTACAGCTTAATTTTTTTTTAATATTTCATTGAGGTTTATGCTGTCACCTCTGTTTATCGTGTTATGAACTTGGTAACACAAACAACATACTACACCTGACCTTTACAAAGGGCTTTACTGAAACTGAGACTATTTGAACTTTATCCACAGAGTGTTGAGAATAAATGATGTAATATGAAGTATGCGGTGTTACTACTCATTGTCTCCTGAATAATATTGCACGGTATTGTCATGGAGACACTAATAGCCTTATGGAGGAAAGAAATGCAAATTCTGTTTACATCCGGACATGTGATTCAGACAAGTTCTGCATAGAACTTTAGAATTAGAAAGTATACTTACTTTAATTTTTCTGTTTGTAAAAATCGCTTCCCGAAACAATGTAGAAGTTATAAAAAAAAAAAAAAAGAAAGTCAGCTTGTAGAATCAAAACCTGATAAGGATTGTGAAACATATTGGTAACGTAGCACCCAACTTCTTACAGTATTGGAAAGCAATGGGCTCCTAACTTTTAAAACTGATGTTTGTTCTAACTTTCTCATAAGTTATGCTGTTGTATGAGTGGTCATAAATCTCAAAAATGAATTAACTGGGACAAATCAATTTAACTTAATAATGCTTAAGAATCAATTCAGATATACTCCAGAAATATGGAGAACTGGCAGGTAGGTTATGAAGGTAATGCAGTTTTGTATTTTTAATACTGTATTTTGGTGCAGCAGTTACTGTGAATGACATTTTTTGTGGTATCTCACCTGAAACCCTACAGAAAACAAATATGCTTGCTTTCTTAAAAACTGAAGTCTTCTACCATTCGTAAAATAGCTGTAAAGTTCTGTCTTTATACACTTGTATGAATTCTTGTCATCTGCTACTCTCATTCAATTTCTTCTGCTGTTGAATAGAGTAGTCTTTTCAGCTCTAGCCTTGGCTGTTCTTTACAGCATGCTTGTGTGATGCATCAATTCTTGTCCTTGATAGATGGTCTGTTTCTACCTCTTGTGCTTTTTTGGTCTGAACTCAGTCAGATGGTGCTTGCTGGATCAAGATCTTTTGCTATTCCTATTTGTTTTCTTGTGCAAGGGGATGGAAGATTCTTACGCTGTGATGATTTTGTCCCTGAAATCCTAGCATCACGTGGTCACTGCCTCCAGTGCTGCTTACGTGTCTGGTAAGTTCAGTATATTTGCTGAATAAGATTCAGAGAAGCACCTTTCCTGCGTGGCCTGTCCAGCAACATTGTCAAAAAAGAAAAGCTGTTGAATTGTTTGTACCTGCCACATTGTCTTTTCAGTAGATCTTGAGACTTCTGGTGTTCCCTAAGAAGCCCTCCTGCATATGATGCATCTGGATTCCTATGCCCAGTATGATAAGTGGGTGCTGAGATATCTTGATTTACGTTTTGTTTATAAAATTAAATTTCTTATTAAAACTGAAAAGAATACTTAACAACTTTCCATATTTCCTGAGCCCTTGGAAAAGCTTGATCATTAGCCTCAAAACATCAAAGCAGGCTTTCTCTTTGAGATACTTTAACTTTGCTTTTCCGTTTGCGTCTCCAGCTGTACCTTATAGTGCATTGTAAAAAGAGAAGGGTCAATGCAGTAGTAATGTAGTTTCTTGAACTCATTTATCTGTTAGCTTTTATTCATTTATTGACCTTTGATTAATTTGGAGGTGTCTGAGTCTTGTTTCTCAAAACTTCTGCTATTTAAGTATTGTTGACTTGTTTCTGGTCTCTTACAGAAACATAGGGTATAAGGATTTTTTGTCTTGTTTGTATATTAAATCTCATCCAAACTGGATTTCATAATTGCCAGATGTGTCCCTTTGTAATGGGATTTATTGACCATGTGGGTTGCATCTGAAAAATCTGGATTGAATTTCAAATCTGGGTGACTTCTGGTTCAAGTTTTTTAGATTTTATGTATTTACACATTTTTGTATATATAAACATATTGTCATTTGAGCTTCATTGCACAGGAGGGCATGAGAACATAATTCTAAACATTCTTTTGACAAATTAGCCCTGTCAGCAAAAATTTTAGCTGTGATTACAGCTTCAGAAGTAAGCCGCTGTATTTATTATGCATGTGCATAAATGCAGTGTCTTTCATAACCTCTGTTTCTTAGCAAATAGAAGATACTGCAGGTGATCTGCAGATGGGTGCAGACAGTGATGATATTTCAACATCTACTGACTCTGCATAAAATATTTGCTATATTTTTGTTGTGTAGTACATATTGAGAAGACCTTACTGTTAAGACTCTTGCTTTTTTTCTTAGAGTTAATACCCTTCATGGTACACACTTAGAAGCTCTGAAAAATGTCCTCCATGCTTTCTTGACAGGACAGTACTTTTTTTTTTTTTAGGATGGTTGAATACAGAGAGAGAGAGGCAGCATTGGCATGGGTATTTATAAGACATGCTGAACACCTGCAAGTTCATTTAAACTGCAAATGCCAACCTCTAGTAGCTAAACTTGGTTGCAGTGTGCAGTGCAGCTGGTTTATTCTCTTGCTTTGACAGGTTAAACTAGTTTACATCTGCACGTACATCTGCACGCCTTCTTGCTCAGTGAGGAGTATTGCCCCCCACCTTCATGTAATCATCCTGGGTGTGTGCAAAAATGCTCTTAGTCTACTTGCTCTGGCTTCCTGTGTTTACTCCCAGCTTTTCTTGGATGTGGTGCTTATTACGTTTGAGATGGGCAGTGTGGATTTCTCCCAGTGTTATAAACACTGACTTCTAAATACTTTTGTCAGTGGAAAAAAAATAATCTTAGAAGTTATATCTGAGTATGGTGGTAGGTTGGAACATAGAAGTTCAGAGTCCTGGGTTTGTAGGACTAGGAGAACCTGATGACTAGGCAAGTCCAAGAAGTTGTCCTTGCTGATTTATTTGTCTGCTCACTAAACATATACACACAACTAAAACCTTTGAACCGTAGGTAGTAGATACTAAACCATGTTGCACAAGGCAAGCTACTTTAGAGGCAGTCTGTGCAATCTAAACTGTGTTTGCCTCAAAAGCAGACCAGCAGGAATGTTTGTGTGCGAGAAACACTTTATTTGAAGGTCAGTTTACCATTGAATAGTTGAAAATCTCTAGTTTCAGTCTGTCATGTAGATTCATTAGTAGTAACTGATAGCACAGCTGTTAATGTTCATGGCTATGATTGTACTGCTAATGTACAGATTTATATCAGAACTTGGAAGTTTGTGGGGAAAAAAACAGCTCCCTATTCCTGTTGATATATTGCTGCCTGCTCTTGGAATAAGCTGTGTAGTCTGCTATTGCAAACTCAAAGTGTAATCTTCAAAGAGGTCTTTAGGAAATTAGAGCTGACTGCTTTGACCTTTATAATTTATTTCAGTACAACTGCCAAGGTGGTGCCCTTGACTAATCATTTGCCAGGAATTTTACTTTCTCTTTGTTTAGAGCTGCCTGTTTGAGCTCTTTCACAGGTGGTGTGTGCAGATGCATGCCAGTGATTGCAGTTAAATTGCACAGAGCAGTACCCAGGAGCTAAGTACCCATGTCAGACAGCTGGCACGGGGCTAACCTGCTTTAAAGTTTAGTTGAGCTTCAAAATAAAGTTGGAAACTCTGTTGCTTCTTCTACCTGATGAAAACACCTTCAAAACTAAATGAGACAATACTTGCTAAAATGCAAATCAGTCATGCTTTCTCCCTATTTCATTAGATAATTTTTGCAATTGGTTTGCTATGGATTTCTTTAAGCCTAGCCCAAAAGACTGGACACTTGGTTCTGATTAATCTGTCTTCGGTAAACAATTGTTCTTTCTGCACTCTCTTGATATTGAGGGTACTTCTAAGATGAAGCATTAGTTTGTACTAAAATAAATTCATACTGGAATACTTCATAAAAACTTTGTTTGGAAACTGAAAAGCTTTGTCAAAAATCAAACCATGCTTAATCATTCAAACATAACTAAATATTTACTTATCCAAATCAGTTTGTATTAACATAATGAATCAGAAATGTCTCTAAAGTTTGTACAAACTTGTTAACTACATGTTTGCTAGAGCTCTACTTTTATGTTGTATATTGCATTCCGATTACTTCTGTAACAGCTTTTAACATATGAGCTCTTACACAGTACTGAAGCTTGAATATTGAGTAGTTTTCATCAGAATCTAATCAGTAGCTTTCTCTTCTGAAAAGATGCATGCCAAAAAGTAATTAAGAAGCTTGGACACCAAAGCTGTTGAGGGGATGAATACAATACCAGATACTTTTTCACTATTAATCAAGTGATTTAGCTTGTCCGTTTTGGCATTGGTGTCATTTGAGACATAAAACAGTTAATTTGTGAAGACTTCTACTCCTATCCAAATAATCCTGAGAAGTGGAACCTAAAGTCAGGGCACCCACACTTGATGCTTATGAAAAGTTTACATGGAAGGAAAAAGCTGAAATGTGGTAGTGAATTAATCTCTTTAACTTCAGAAACTTTAGAAGCTGCTCCTGGGCTACAGTGAATGATGAAGTAGGGTTGTTCTTAATCTAGATAACAAGCTGCCTCTGCAATAGAAATTAACTGTTGATAAGAGGAACTTGTATGAAAGATGAGCTCGCAATAAGCAACTGAGAAGCCATGCTACAGTCTGGATCATGTGTCTGATCTTCCTTTTCCTTCATTCTAATGAGATCATGGCCCTTCTACATGAAAAGAACTTCTACACTAACCAGACTTAAATGCTTAAATGTTGGTTTGAGTCTGTTGATGCTTTCACTCTCACTTTTTCCTGTATTACTGATAAAGTAAACAAGTTCCTAATTTTTTTGTTTGTTTAGGGTTGGGGTTTTTTTTTTGTTTTTTTTTTTTTTTTTTTTTTTTAAGATGCTAACTAGAGGCATAGGAAGAAATAAAGCACTCCGATTGTGTGTTGAGTTAAACTGAGTGACACAGTCAAACCTGACAGAAGAAAACTTAGAGGTGGTTCTGCACCGTGAGTTGCAATATGCTGGAAGGTTGGTCTTGGTAATACTGTCTTCAAAACATACATGCTTGTGCATGGTAAGAATATCAGTTTTGGTAACTTGTTACTTCATGAATGGAAACTGAAGAAGAATATTTGTAAATCCAAGCCAGTCATGACCTGCTGCTCATTTGAAAAGAAAAAGCAGTAGACTAATCCATCTTTTTCCCCTTACTGGTTATCTCACAATGCAGTTTACTCTTCTAGTAACTGCATGTCAATATGCACAATATGTACAAGGTGACAAATGCAGAACAGCCAGGTAACTAGTTGTTGCCCGAATAGATTATCCTGCTAATGTGCAATCTTTCTGTTTAAAAATGGCAAAACAGATATTGCATGTTATCTGCCTGTTTCCATGTACTGTGGGGTAAGGGAAACCCAGTAGACTGTGTTTGCAGAGGCTTAAGAGCCTGCTCAACCTAGTAGTGGAGACGAGCATTCTGACATTCAGTGAAGTGAAACCACTGTACAATAATCCTGACATATGAAAAAGTTGACTTTCTTCCCCCACTTCTTACAGTATTTACAAAGCTTGTTTCAAAAGACTTGTGGAGAAGGGGGAGGAAAGTAATTGCAAATAGGAAAAAAAAACAATCTGCAACAAAAACTTGCTTATTTCTTCCTAGAACCTCCTATTTCTGTCTTTTTTGTTTTTGTTGTTGTTGTTAGAATTGTAGAATCCTTAGAATTGTAAGGGACACTTAAGGACCACTTAAGGGCCACCTAGTCTGACTCTCCTGCAATGAAGACTGACATGCACAGCTAGATCCAGTTGCCCAGGGCCTGATTCAACCTCACCTTGAAAGTCTTCAGAGACAGGGAATCCACCACATCGCTGGGCAACCTGTTCCAGTGCCTCACCACCCTCACTGTAGAAGACTTTTTCCTTACATCTAACCTAAATCTACACTCTTTGAGCTTGAAACTATTTCCCTTTGTTCTGTCACCGCAGACCCTGCTGAAGAGTCTGTCCACTTCTTTCCTGTAGCTTCTCTTTAAATTCTGAAGGGCTGCTATCAGGTCACCTTGGAGCCTTCTCTTCTCCAGGCTAAACATCCTCTGTTCTCGCAGTCTGCTCTCGCAGGAGAGGTGTTCCATTCAATGGATCATTTTTGTGGCTCATCTCACACATTCCTACAGGTCCATGTCTGTCCTTTCCTGTGGACTCCACATTTGGATGCAGTACTCCAGGTGAGGCTTCACCAGTGTAGAGAAGAGGGGCAGGAGCACCTCTCTTGGGTTGCTGGCCACACTTATTTTGATGAAGCTCACAGGTGATAGCTATTAAAATAAGCAGAAACTTTTGCTTTGTGTAAGGTAAGAACATGATGATGTTCTCCTTTTTCTTTTTTTGAAGACAGCTATTACACATTTCTTATTCTGCAGGCTTAGTCTCTTGGCATGCTTTGTCTGTACTGGCAAAGTTTGCTTATTATCTGCCATCACTTAAAGCAGAGCTGGGTGGCTCTGCATTCCTGTCTCAGATATGATTGTAAAAGACAGTAGAAGTTTCACTTAGAAATGCCTTTTTGGTAAAATTGCCAAAGTGAGGCAAAAGAAAGACTCTGGCAACTCTCGGAGACTTTTTTACTTCAGTCTGGGTTTAACCAGTGGATATGAGAAGGGAGAAAGAGGCAAAATTTGAATAATACTGTCTTGTGAAAGTGGATTTCTGTCTTCTAAGTAGGCTTGGATATTGTTAAATAGATGACTTGCCTATGCATTTAATTGATCATTCTTTTCTCTGCAAGGAGTGCCAAGTACTTCCAGATTTATGTCCCTGCTAATGTCCTTGGAAGTTGTTTCTGCACAAGTCTGTAACTCTTCAAGAGAGTGGGTGCTGTGAGAACATGTTGATCACTGAGTGCAGAATTGATTGTTTTTAAAGCATGTGCTACTTCAGCTTATGTGTAGGCCTATCACTTCATTAAACCAAGTCCTCAGGGCATTAAAATTCTAGGAATATTTCCCTGCCAAGTGTGCAGAGCTGTCTGACTTACTTGAAATCGACGTGCTGACCTGCAGTTCTCTTGGTCGTTTATTCCTCTTCAGATCAATGAAATGTGTAGCACAAGTGTCAGGAGAAGCTTTGAGTCAAGACATGGAGGGTCTGAAGAACCTGAGGATAGAAATGATTTGCCAGCTAGTTTAGGGAGTGTTTGGTTTTGTGTTGGTGTGGAAGTAGATATAATATTGGGTCTCCTGTTTTTCTGTTACTGAATCATTCCATAATTCAATACTTATTTTGGGAAGATTTTCTTATTCAAATCTATACCACTTTTATATAGCACCACAAAACATTCTTGCTGCTTAGATATGGGTCTATCCTATTATTTTTTTTTTATTTCTAAAGCTTCCTTTTAGTTTCTTACTATTCAATACTGTACTGTACTAGCTCTTTCCTTCTTCACTGAGGCTGTTCACTTCCCAGTCAGACTCTTGTAGAGAACAGCACTTTGCATATGTTGTGTTGTCCATGCAAACACATTATATGGAGACATGACATCAACTGTTTAACAAACTTCTGATGTTAAGTAGTTTGTTTCTTAAACAATGTGCATTACAAACTACTATTAAGCAGAACTTATTACCTAAAACATGCTTCTTGTAAATGAGTGTAAAACGATGTTCCTTTTACTTGTGGCATGCTGTGCTGATTCCTGTACAAATGTGTAACTGCTAGAATCTCTACAGATAACACTGTAAGGGTAGCATAGGACTGTTACAAGTGTTTAAATGAAAATTAACAATTTTGTTTGGGTGCTGAATATAGGTAGTTACTCTAATTAGGAGCTATAAAATGGGATACCTACCATGACAGGTCAAAATTCAGTCTCTCGTAGTTGGAGGGAGTTGGGTGGTGGTTTTGTGATGGTTTTTTTCCTAAATTGTTTCTCTTTTGCAAAAACTTTTATCATGTCTTTCTATACCCCAGGTATTTCTACATCCCAGCTATTTGTACAGATTAGGGGAAGATTTCCTTGACAGCAGCCCTGAAGAGAAGGACTAGAGGGTTCTGGTGGATGAAAAGCTGGACATGAGCCAGCAGTGTGTGCTTGAAGCCCAGAAGGCCAACTGGGGGTGGCCAGCAGGGAGAGGGAGGTGATCGTCCCCCTCTACTCAGCTCTTGTGAGGCCCCATCTGCAGAACTGCATCCAGGCCTGAGGGCCCACAGTACAGGAAGGATGTGGAGCTCTTAGAGCAGGTCCAGAGCAGGGCCACTAAGATGATCAGAGGGCTGGAGCACCTCTACTACGAGGAAAGGTTGAGGGAACTGGGCCTGTTTAGCTTGGAGAACAGAAGGCTGTAGGGAGACCTCATTGTGGCCTTCCAGTACTTAAAGGGAGCGTGTGAACAGGCTGTTTACATGGGTGGATAGTGATAGGACAAGGGGGAACGGTCTTAAACTGAGACAGGGGAGGTCTAGGTTAGATATTAGGATACTATATAGATATTAGGATATTATATATTAGATATTATATTAGGAGGAATTTTTTCGCACAGAGGGTGGTGAAGCACTGGAACAGGTTGCCCCAAGAAGGCTGTGGATGCCGCATCCTGGGAGGCATCCAAGGCCAGGCTGGATGTGGCTCTGGGCAGCCTGGTCTCCTGGTTGGCGACTCTGCACATAGCAGGGGGGTTGAAACTGGATGATCATTGTAATCCTTTTCACCCAGGCCATTTTATGATTTTATGCATCTGTTTACACTGTGAAAAATCTAGGAAACTTACTACTCTGTACAGCTCTAGTAGGTAATGCAGCTGGCCTTGTACCTTGTTAGGAATATCTTGTCCTCAAACTGTACCATATTTCCTTACAGAAGCCTTGAATAAAGGGGACGGCAGTTTACATATTGTGAGGTTTACTGTCTACATGAGGTGATTCAAGAAATGCTGCTTTCAGATAGGTTTCATTCTCCTAACTAAATTGTCCCATATGCACAAAAAAGAATAGACCAGAATTAAACTGTTGTAAATATCAAAGCCAACAAGGTGTTCTTTCTTAGACTTACTTAGACTTACTTATTTGTTGTTAGAAATCCTGATTAAAAGTATTAAATGGTTCAGTATTTGCTGTAGTTACTTCTCTGCAAGAATTGTTCATACTTTGATTACTTTTCCAAGTAATCTTTAAAAATGTGGGCTTGCAGTAGCAGACTGTAGTGATAATCATAATCACTTCTATGGTAACCATTTCTAGGAGGTAGAGCTATCTTTAATTTCATCTATATCATATAATATGTAAACTTGTGGCAAAACTAAGCTTCAGGAAAGCTAACCAGCCCTTAAGTTCTCTTATTTTAAGACCTTTTTTAGATAGCGAGCTGCACTGTACACATTAGGAGCTAAGTATGCTTTAGATATCAATTGATAGCTGAAATTGGTTTGATGTTACTTCTTAAGTTACTCTTCTATCTTGGTAGTAATAGTGGAAACAGCTTTTGATTTTTCCTGATTAAATGAAGCTTTGCTCCTCATGTTCTAATTAACCAGTTGAGGTAGATACTGAGTAAAAGACATAGATTGCAGATCTGGTCTTTTGACTTTGGACTTGCTGGTTTTGAAAGAATTGAAACAGAACTTTACGCTTACCAACATTATTTCATGACATGGGAACAATATCCCATGAAACCATTTGAATGCTCATGAAATCTGAGATGCAAATTCCTACTGGGATAATTTGTCCTTCATTAGCCAAAGTAGAGTTTTTCAGGATTGTCTGTAGGATTTTATCTGCAAAAATTCTAATACTTTGGTCGTTTTAGAACTAGTAAGTGCTAGTAT